TTATAACTGCAGCTGTGCTGTACATTAGTTGGTTTGTTTCTTGCAGTGAATTGGTGCTTATACTTGCTATTGCAGTATTTGCATCTTTTAATGCTTGTGCTAGCTGTTTCTTTGGAACAAGCTTCAATGCAGGCAGCCTTATTCTGTTGTTTTTGTGCTGTTCTAGATGCTCAGTTATTCTTTGTTTCAATTCTTTTATTTCTTTAGTTAGAGGATTTTGTTCTTCCTGAGGAAGAGGTGCCTGGTTTCCAAATGAGAACAGTTGTATATCTCTGCTGGATTCCTTCACTGCCAACTCCCCCTGGTTTGCCTCTACATTCTGAATTACTTCTGGTAAGGCTTTGATTTCTTTGCCCTGGGTAAACCTTTGCAGTTCGTCCAATTCTGTTTCTGTGAATACTTTATTTCGTGTTATAAATCGGCGTTGATCTGCTAGTCTCTGTTCTGTTATTTCTGATTCTGGATGTTGTTCTTTCCAGAATTGGTGCATTCGTTTTAGATATCCTCTTCTTGTTGGACTTGATCTGTAGTAACAGATCATTATTTCTTTGTTTTCCATCACTGTGTATCTGCGACGGGTAAACACCTTTTCTTCCAGTAGTTCTGCAGCTGCTGGCCCTGGTTGCTCAGCCAACAGTCCTGAGTCCTGTAACCCATTTTTCACCAGATATCCAGGAACTCCAATATCTAGCGCGGACCTTGTTAACCCGGGCGACGTCCGAGCCGGTATGGCATTCTGAAATTTACGTCTCACCATATTTTTTATGGGAGAGACACTCTTTGTCTGACTCCTCTGATGAGACCTGTCCAGTATGGTTGAACCTCTGGCATAGCTCTCATCTTCCTCAGAGTACACAAGCCCCACAACCACGTCAAGGTAGTGCCTCACTGGGGGTTTATTATTATTATTATTATTATTATTATTATTATTATTATTATTATTATTATTATTTAGACGTGAAACTCAATCAACATTTAAACTGACTGGTGCTGATGGTTGACAAGGGTTGCTACCAGCATCCTGGGTGTCAACCAGATGTTCCGAGTAGCGCAATTTTTTGTAGCATTGCTGGAGTTATTGCAGGAAGCTGCAGTTTCTTGATGTATTTTGCAAAGTTTTGGGACATAGTTCCCAGTGCCCCGATGACAATGGGTACCACTGTTACACGTTTCACCCATAATCGCGCAGTTTCGATGGCCAGGTCGCTATATTTCATAATTTTTTCAAGTTCTTTTTCTTCGACTCTGGCATCTCCTGGTACAGCGATATCAATCAGCTGTACAATGATGATGATGATGATGATATTATTATATTATTATATATTATATTATTATTCTATTATTATATTATTATCATTGCACAGTCAGCCAGATGTTCACACTGGATGTGGCATTTTTGTCTACCTATCGAGTCCTTCCCAAGGACCTGGGATAGGCAGATGTGGATGTTTGATGATATTACAGATATCGTAGCAGGATATTATTATTATTATTATGTGAATCTGGCTTCCCCATTGACTTTGCTTGTCTGAAAGTCACCAAAGGGGATCACATGATCCCGGGACACTGCGACCGTCATAAATACAGATAATCCTCAACGTACGACCTTAGTTGAGCCCAAAATTTCTGTCAGTAAGTGAGACATTTGCCCCACTTTACGACCTTTCTTGCCACCGTTGTTAAGTGAATCCCTGCCGTTGTTAAGTTAGTCACTCGGTCGTTAAGTGAATCCGGCTTCCCCATTGACTTTGCTTGTCAGAAAGTGGCCCAAGGGGATCAGGTGACCCCGGGACAGTGCGATTGTCATAAATATGAGTCAGTTGCCAAGCATCCCAATGTAAATCACGTGACCACAGGGACGCTGCAGCCGTCATAAATACGAGTCAGCTGCCAAGGGGTCTGAATTTTCATCCCCTGAACACGGGGATGCTGCAACTGTCAATGCAGTTCATAAATGTAAAAAAAAAAATGGTGATAATTCACTTTTTTTTCAGGGCTGTTGTAACTTTGAACAGTCACTAAATGAACTTTTGTAAGTCGAGGACTAACTGTACTTGTAATATGTGGCTGAACCCCCCCCCCACCACAAGGTGGTGACCTTGAAGTCATCAGAGGTCAAGCTCAACTAAAGGGACTGTTTTATTTTATACAGGAGATTCCCAGGGAACTATCCTGAGCTCAGCTTTTTCGTGTTATGCCTCCAACGCCATGCACAGTATGCTCAATTTTATTTTATTTATTTTTTTTAAAAAGTCCCCGCTCCATACTGCGAAGAGAGGGAAAACAAAACTTTCAAATATTCACTCTTTCGCCGCGGGTTGAAAAATATGCAAGTTATTTGTGCGATTCCCAGGGCAATCGGGCAAAACAATGGAAGAATTGTTTCCCCTCTCCTTTTTTTTTTGCTGAGTTGTGTGTTTCCCTTGTCCTCGGGGCGAGAGGGCACAGCCAGCAACAGAGTTTGACTCCAGGGGGGCAGGAGAAATGTGAGTTGTGCAATCAGGCCCACTTTAGCTTGCAATCTGGGTGTATTTTTGCCCGCCAGGGCTGGGTTTGGGGGGTGCTCGGTTGTCGTTCCCCCAAAGTCGTGGGGAAAGTCACAGGTGAAACTTAGGTGCTGTTTGGCTTCATTTTTAAGGGGTAGCTTTGGCACAAAGGTCTTCAATCTCTCTCTCTGTCTCTCTCTGACACACGCAAACACACACACACACACACACACACACACACACACGTGACACATTATTAGTGTGGCAGCATATTTCTCTAGACCTCTGGACCCAATCAGCTCCCTCGTGATTGTGCAAAGTCAAATTGCAAAGTGAGAGAAAGCTCTTTTGTGCTCATTTTTATCATCATAGATCAGAGGTCCCCAGCCTTTTGGGCACCACCAGGGACCGGTTCCGTGGAGAGAGGTCTTTCCGTGGACCAGAGGGTGCGTGGTTTTATGTGCTGCCTGCATCCCACAGATGGGATGCTTTGCTTGTTTGTGCGGACCGGTTGCTGGCATGCTGTGGCCCAATACTGGGGATTGGGGATCCCTGTCATAGATGATAGATTGAGATAGATATAGAAAGATAAATAAATGATAAAGAATAGAAAGATGACAGACTGATAAATGATAGATAGTTAAATAGATATGGATAGATAGATAGATAGATAGATAGATAGATAGATAGATAGACAGATAGATAATAAAGGATAGAAAGATGACAGATTGATAGATGATGGATAAATAGATATTTAGATAAATAACTAGATGGAAAGAGAAAGAGGGTAAGAGATAGATAGATAGATAGATAGATAGATAGATAGATAGATAGATAGATAGATAGATAGATAGATAGAAGAGACAGACAGATAGATAGATAATAGACAGGAAGATGACAGATTGATAGATGATAGATAAATAGATATTGATTGATAGATAAATAATAGATGGAGAGATAGAAAGAGAGAGGGTAGATAGATAGATAGATAGATAGATAGATAGATAGATAGATAGATAGATAGATAGATAGATAGATAGACACAGACAGACAGACAGACAGACAGAAAGACAGATGATGGATAGATGATGGATAGATAGATAGATTATAGATGATAAATAAATAGATCAGACAGGCCGACAGAGTTGATATATAGATTGTCCCCAAGTTGTGACCACAATTGGGAGCCAGTTTTCCGTTGTTAAGCAAGGTAGTTGTTCAGTCAGTCGTGCCCGATTTTATGACCTTTTTTTGGCCACGGTTGTTAAGTGAATCACTGCCATGCTAATTGAACCACATGGTTATTCAGCGAATCCAGCTTCCCTCATTGCCTTTGCTTGTCAGAAGCTGGCTGGGAAGACCACGTGTGGCAATCCCGTGACCCCATGACGGAGGAAACCTCATCAATACTATACACGCCAGTTGCCTAGCACCTGAATTTCAATCCCGCGATCGTCAGGCTGCCGCCACGACCGCCACAAATCGCTTAACAACCCTGGTCATTAAACCGAGTGCCTCCAGAAGCGGTGAATGCTCCAACACTGGACGTTTTTAAGAAGAGACTGGACAGCCCTTTGTCCGAAACGGTATAGGGTTTCCTGCCTGAACAGGGGGTTTTACACAGTTATAACTAGTAATAGTAGTAAACTTGGAAGGAACCTTGGAGGTCATCTAGTCCAACCCCCCGCTCAGGCAGGAAACCCTACACCATTTTGGACAAATGGCTGTCTAGTCTCTTCTTAAAAACTTCCAGTGTTGGAGCATTTACCGCTTCTGGAGGCAGGTTGTTCCACTGATTAATTGTTCTCACTGTCAGGAAGTTTCTCCGTAGTTCTAGGTTGCTTCTCTCCTTGGTTAGTTTCCATCTGTTGCTTCTTGTCCTGCCTTCAGGTGCTTTGGAGAATAGCTTGACTCCCTCTTCTTTGGGGCAGCCCCTGAGATATTGGAACACTGCTATCCTGTCCCCCCTCATCCTTCTCTTCATTAAACTAGACATACCCAATTCTAGCAACCGTTCCTTATATGTTTTAGCCTCCAGTCCCCTGATCACCTTTGTTGCTCTTCTCTGCACTCTTTCTAGAGTCTCAACATCTTTTTTACATCGTGGTGACCAAAACTGGATGCTGTATTCCAAGTATGGCCTTACCAAGGCCTTGTAGAGTGGTAGTAATACTTCTAGTTGGACTAGAATGACCTCCAAGGTCCCTTCCAACTTTATTATATTATACTTAACGACCGCCTTGTTTAACCCATGGAAATTCTGCTCGTAAACCGAGGCCTGCTTCTCATTCTTTAAGCCGCCCCGTCTTTTCATCTCCCTGATATTATTTGCATCCAAACTCCTGAAATAAAACTGGGTAGATTTTCTTTCCTCTTGGAGTCTAAAGAGGAAGAAAAAACAAACAAAACCTCCAGTTGCTTCTCTCCAAGTTTGCTTCGAGACGTAACTCTCCAAATATAGCAGGGAGGGTGTGGCGTAAAAACTCTACGAGCTGAAAAGAGTTGTTGGAAAGAGGTTCAGTTTTTCACTTCCCGGCCCCCATCCGGGCAGACCAAAGTCCTCTAGCTGTGAAAACATTTGATTTCCTTTGAATAATTTCCTGCCTGGTTTTCTGGGCTGGTGGCAGCCGACCAGCGGGATGAATCCTGGCCAAATTCTACAAGATGCCCCCGTCCGAAAAATTGCCATCTTTGGCGGCACACACGGCAATGAGCTGACCGGGGTGTTCCTGGTTAAATCTTGGCAGGAAGACGGAGCAGAGATTGAAAGAGCCGGGGTGCAGGTACGGCCTTTCCTGGCTAACCCCCCAGCTGTGGAAAAATGCTGCCGATATATAGACTGTGACCTGAACCGGGTGTTTGATTCCGAAAGTCTCGGGTAAGCTTCAAGTGGAGTGGTTGTGTGAATGCATTGGGTGCAAGTGTCCAGCAAGAACATCCGATGTTAGGTGTTGCCTTGGGTTGAGTTTAGCTGTGCTGGAATGTCTTTATTTACTATTGATTTAATATATTTTGTCTGTCTGTCTATTGTCTATCTGTCTGTCTATTTGTCCATCTGTCTATCTATCTGTCTATTGTCTATCTCTCTGTCTGTCTATCTATCTATCTGTCTGTCTGTCTATTTGTCCATCTATCTGTCTATCTGTCTGTCTATTGTCTGTCTGTCTATCTATCTATCTATCTATTTATCTATCTATCTGTCCGTCTGTCTGTCTGTCTCTCTGTCTATTGTCTATCTATCTGTCTATCTGTCTATCTTTCTGTCTGTCTATTTGTCTGTCTGTCTATTGTCTATCTATCTATCATCTATCTATCTATCTATCTATCTATCCGTCTGTCTGTCTATCTGTCTATTGTCTATCTATCTGTCTGTCTATCTATCTGTCCATCTGTCTGTCTGTCTGTCTATTTGTCCATCTGTCTGTCTATTTGTCCATCCATCCATCCATCCATCCATCCATCCATCCATCCATCCATCCATCCATCCATCCATCCATCCATCTATCTATCTATCTATCTATCTATCTATCTATCTATCTATCTATCTATCTATCTATCTATCTATCTATCATCTCCTGGATCTATCTCCTGGATTGTCTGTCTGTCTGTCTGTCTGTCTCTTTCTCTCCCTTTCCCACATTGACTCATACTTATGATGGTCGCAGTGTCCCCGGGATGTCATGTGACCCCCTTTTGCGACTTGTCATGAGCAAAGTCAATGGGGGAGCAAAGTTCATTTGACGACCATGTTACCAAGTGAACAGCTGTGGTGATTCACTTAACAACAGTGGCAAGAAAAATCCTAAAAACGGGGCAAAACTCACTTAACAACCGTCTCACTTAGCAACGGAAACTGGGGTCGTACGTCGAGGACTACCTGTAACTATGTATGCCTGCCAGAAACCCCATAGCCTGGGCAACCTTTGACGCCGTTATTGCATGCTCCAAAGGATCGGTGAAATTTGGGAGTCGAAGTGACACTTCTTTAACCCCCACCCCCCGACATGCTCCGTTTCTCTCTTTGGCCTCACCAAGGTTGCCAGCACTCAGTCGAGTTGGTGGGGACAGCAATTTGAGGCTCCAGTGGTGAAATAAGTCCTAATCCTTGGCGGAGAAAATCCTGTTTTTATAACTCTTGAAAATGCTTTCCTTGGCTTGCAGCCTTTTTGCTAAATACCAAGAACGGGGCAGTCATTTCCTTGCTGCTAACGATGATTTGGACACAATAGGCAGGCCAACATTTCAGACAACCTTTTTGAAAAAAGATAAATCTGCAACCACTGCTTGCTAGATGCATTTCATTTCCCCGGAACCCCTAAAATAGATCTTATGTCCCTCTGTTTCACTCCTTCTGCTCCCAGGACATTGAACCGTTGTGGAAATCTATACATGCAGAATGTATTTAGAGCAGTGGTTCTCAACCTGAGGGTCGGGACCCCATTTGGGGTCGAACGACCATTTAACGGGGGTCGCCAAACAACGCAGTCCGCCATTTTTTCCCCCCCTTTTCTTAGCTGTGCTACTCCCTTTTATTCTATTGGCTTTTGAAAGCCAATAGAATAGACTCTCTTGAATAGAGTCTAATTCTATTGGCTTTCAAAAGCCAATAGGAATTGTCCAAACTGTCTCTGCCCTGCTGAGCCCGCCAAAAGTCCCATTCTGCAGATGGTGCTGCACTAGTTGAGTAGTCCTCGACTTACGACCGGTTGAGTAGTCCTCGACTTACGACCAGTTTGGGGTCGCGGCATTAAAAAGGTTGAGAACCACTGATTTAGACGGTTGAAGCAACTAAAATGTAGGTTTGAGAGTTATTTTGGCCTAGTGCAGGGGTAGGCAACCTTGGCTCTTTTATGACTCAGGAATTCTGGGAGTTGAAGTCCACGAGTCATAAAAGAGCCAAGGTTGCCTACCCCTGGCCTAGTGATTAGGGCACTGGGCTACAAGCCAGGAGACAGAAAATTCTAGACCAGTGGTGGCGAACCTATGGCACGGGTGCCAGAGGCGGCACTCGGAGCCCTCTCTGTGGGCACACGTGCCGTTGCCCCAGCCTTGCCTCCGCCCACGACCCCCTCCTCACCAGCAGCCCCCCTGGAGGAGAATCGCCCCTGAGCATGGCCCACGCAGAGCAGTGCAGCCAACGACATCCCAGCCAGACAGCATAGACAAGACTCTGCCCTCACGCCCCATCGCGCACAGTTGATGCTGCAGGGCGTGGGCAGAGGGCGTGGTGGCCATGGCGCCGCTGAGCGATCTGCGGCAGGCCCTGGAGGCGGTGAGTGGTCCTGCGGGCAGGCGGGGTGGGGGTGGGGGCGGGGCGGGGCAGGGGCGGGGCCAGTTTTTGGGCACTCGATCTCTAAAAGGTTCGCCATCACTGTTCTAGACCTGTATCTCAGGGGCTGCCCCAAAGAAGAGGGAGTCAAGCTAGTCTCCAAAGCGCCTGAAGGCAGGACAAGAAGCAATGGATGGAAACTAATCAAGGAGAGAAGCAACCTAGGACTAAGGAGAAACTTCCTGACAGTGAGAACAATTAACCAGTGGAACCACCTGCCTCCAGAAGCGGTGAATGCGCCAACACTGGAAGTTTTTAAGAAGAGACTGGACAGCCATTTGTCTGAAGGTTTTCCTGCCTGAGCAGGGGGTTGGACTAGATGACCTCCAAGATCCCTTCCAACATTATTATTATTATTATTATTATTATTATTATTATTATTATTATTATTATTATCTTTTATTCATTAAACATGAACCTCAGTCAACTGAACATTCAAACTGATGGTGCTAATGGTTGACGCGGGTTGCTACCAGCATCCTAAGTGTCAACCAGGCACTTCCTTAATAAATAAGATGTTCCGAGTGGCACAGTTTTTTGTAACATTGCTGGAGTTATTGCAGGAAGCTGCAGTTTCTAGATGTATTTTGCAAAGGTTTTGGACATAGTGCCCAGTGCCCCGATGACAATGGGTACCACTGTTACACGTTTCATCCATAATCGCGCAGTTTTGATGGCCAGGTCACGATATTTCGTCATTTTTTCCAGTTCTTTTTCTTCGACTCTGGCATCTCCTGGTACAGCGATATCAATCAGCTGTACGCTTCGGTTCTCTACA